ATCTCGGAAATAATAACTAATAAATCTTTAGATAAAGTTTGATTCTTTTTTGAAAAAGAAAACTTTATTACTTAAGAAGTAAACGATATTCTACAATAGTTATAATCAAATATATATTTATATTCAATGAGAATAAGTGTGCTTTCATTCAATTGTATTTTAATTAGTTTCCTAATACGTACCCTGTTTAATGGACTATGTTAATAGATTTGAAGTAGGGGGTCACCAATTTAGTGACAGTCGATATGTCGTGAAGTAGAACTCAGGTGGGGCAACCGAATTGTATTCAACAAAAATTACAGAGTTACTCAGTAAAATCGGAAAACCATATCGTAAAGCGTTAATTTGCAAAATATCAATCCATCATATCGAACTGGACTGTTCCTTTTGCAAACATCAATCCATTGTCTGACATTTCACTATTCATGTGTTTCATACAAATTCCATTGTGTTCCCACTCTTCTTCCTTTCTTGATCTTCCCCCATCCTCTTCTGCTGCCAGACATTACGTTGACACTCACGTCATATACTACTTATAAGTAGCTCGCACCACAGATATGACTCTTCGTTGGGTGGACAGTGAAGTATGCAATGAAATAAATCTTCCTTCCCGCTTCCGTATATCATTGAGGTGAATCCCGTTAGTTCGAACAGCGGTAATAAAAAACCAAAATACAGTTTTGGTTGAATGAATTTACTCTATGCATTCATCTTAACCGGACAAATATGAGAATGAAAAGCTTACAAGTTAAAGTGAAAAGAAATTGGAGAGCGCAATGAAGCATGACCAAGTAATTGTAGTCAGACAAGAATAAACCAGACATAGTAATAAGCACAGTGTAGGTGTGCACATACTTAATCAAGATATGAGCGAATAACCCTTTGCTGGCAAGGTTGAAAGATGAATAAATAACTCTGAAAAGAATGTATTGATTAAATTGCCTCAATGTGTTATTAGACAAGCCCCCTTATAAGAGGGCTCGACTATTGGGGATGTTAGATCCCCAGAACTCGCTTGATAAATGCCTTATTTTGGATTTCACGTTTGCGAGCATGGGCTAATCAGTTAACCTAGAGATTTGATTTCCCATCACGAAAATCCTTGGCCGTGATTGGATGCTGTGTATTTTAGTGTGCTATTTTTGTAACTGACTGTCAAAAGGACGTTTCTATGATGTATAAATAAACGAGATTTGTGTGTGCTTGATTGTATTGTGATTGCTGGGTGTTCGTAGAATATACTTTCTACGTTTACCAAGCCTTCTGTTTTACAGCTTGGGATTCAAGGTAGCCTACCTGGATGCTGGTAATTATCTCGTTCGCGTTTATCGACTAAGGTGAACTCGTAATAGCTTGAAGCATACCTAGTGACGAACATAACATTAACATATTCAGTACACATAGGACATCTAGGTTTTTAGTCTGGTTTTTCATAGCTAAAAAAATTCAAAATGATGTGTTAATGATAACAGTAAGATTGATTGCGGTAGAAATAATTGACAGAGCTACTTTCATGCATTGGCGGTCTATACTCGATCGGGGGTAACAGGCGTAAGTAAGTAAGTTTAGAGAAAAATACTGAATAAGAATATTGGAATGATACTGATACAGGAGGTCTGTTTGATTTCTTAATATAATTCTTGTTGTAGAAATCGTTATTTAATTGTAAATGTAATACTTTAGTGTAAGAAAAACAACGTTACAGTAAAGCTGGTTTGAGAAATTAAAGTTTTTATCACTGAAATCATGAACTAATCACTGTTAGAAACCTTGAAGCACTGGATGACTGTTACATCCTAATGTGTAACACATCAGGGATGCGCATCCCAAGGCTGGTTTCATGTGCAAACGCCTAACCTCTAAACCACTGAGCTAACAGTTATTGGTGCTAGTACTTACTTACTTACTTACGCCTGTTACCCCCAATGGAGTATAGGCCTTTCACCAGTTCTCTCCAACCAACTCTGTCCTGGGCTTCCCTTGACAGTTCTGTCCAATATTTGTTCATTCCTCTCATATCTTTCTCTATTTCTCGGTGTAATGTGTTCCTCGGCCTTCCTCTTTTCCTTTTGCCTTGAGGGTTCCATGTGAGGGCTTGTCTTGTGACGCAGTTAGGTGCTTCTCGTAATGTGTGTCCTATCCACTTCCAGCGCTTCTTCCTAATTTCCTCCTCAACTGGAATCTGGTTTGTTCTCTCCCACAGTACGTTGGTGCTGATCGTGTCTGGCCAATGAATCCGAAGTATTTTGCCTAGGCGAATGTTAAAAACACTTGTATCTTCTGGATGATGGCTTTCGTAGTTCTCCAAGTTTCCGCTCCATACAGTAGAACTGTCTTCACATTTGTATTGAATATCCTGATTTTGGTTGAAAGTTGTTTGGAGTTCCAGATATTTTTCAACTTTAGAAATTCAACCCTTGCTTTGCCAATCCGCGCCCTCAAATCTGCGTCGGATCCACCTTTCTCGTCGATAATGCTGCCAAGATATGTAAAGGTGCTGGTATTCAACTTTAATCAATTCAATATATTGCTCAACTTCACACATTACCGACACGATTGAACTCCACTGGTTACGACTTCTCACTAGAATTGCGAGAATTTTCACACGAATCTAGTCACTAATGAGTTCATTGTACGGTTTTTCATCATAGAGTTAGGGAAATTGTTGTTTATTAGTGAAATTATGAATCAATTATTGATAGATCATCATTAGAAACCTAAAATCACTGGACGGCCGTTTCGTCCTGATATGGGACTCATCAACAGTGCGCATCCATGACTCCCGCTACTTGCAGGATACGATACTAACACTGTTGGATGCCGGCCTAGTGGTCCTGAGGTTAAGCTCTTCAAGCACATGAAAACAACAATTAGTACGAAACCTTACCGTTTGTCCTCTTAGGTATCAGAACGAGCTTAAAGGCAGATTTTCAATGTTCCGCCGCTGAACTAGTATACGGCACGACATTGCCTCTGATCGGGGAACTTTTCACACCACGGATCAGTAAGTTTTAATAAATCAGACTACGTCCAACAAGTGTTTGAATACATGCGAACACTGCCTCCGGTGTCAAATCGAATACTACTTCGACAGTTCACGCTCCCTCGAGAGTTATCTACATGTTCACATGTTTTCATACGAGTAGATTCAGTACGCAAACCTTTGTAACAGCTTTACGAAGGACCTTTTCATGTGATTCCTCGTCATCAGAAGACCTTCAAGATTGATCAACATGGCCGCGTCGAGATAGTCAGCATAGATCGTCTCCAGCCAGCACATGTCGATGACAGAGCCCTACCTAGTAATCCGAGACCCATCAAACCTACAAGCGGGATCCCTACAGCTACTTCGGACCCCACGCTAGATAGATCCGAGACCTCAATCTGACATCCCAATCAACAGCACGTCATCTGTACTATCTACGGATGGGACTCCAGTTTCACGCCCAGATGATCAGACCACGCCGCCCTTGACTTCGAATGAGATTGCAGGCTCCCGAGGTATGTACGGGACTACCGTGTCACGTCCCGGCCGCCACGTATGACTACCTGTATGCTTTCGCGACTAAACCCCCAATCAACAACGGATACGGTATAGGGCTTTATCCTCATACTACAAGCCTGCTACACCTTTCTCTTTCTTCTTTGAATTTTTTATCTTGAGCCAACGTTTCCGACCATCGCCCTGTTGGTACTGTCGACTTTAGTTAACTTTGGCGAAAGCTGGTCTGATCACCCACACTCTTTTCAATACGCTCAGTCGATGATTTGGTTCCGAATATGTCCGGCATACGTATGGTCCCGAAACTGGTCGTTTCCGGCCCCTTCGCTCATTCTGGTTCCGTCCTACGTCTGCAGCGATTCCTGGTCCGGGCCGCTACGAATGCAATCTTCAGACTGTGGATACGAGCAACGCTGGTGTGGTACGCTAACTTGAGTAACAAACATGGCACGTTACCACTGGTACCCTTCATGAAAGACCTTCAGTGACAACTCGAGCACCATGGATCACTTCCTATTCGTCAACCCTTCAGTCCTACAATCGCACGTTTGCCGATCAGTCGCCCGGATGAAACCGCTACGTATCGAAAGTGTAAACACTTTCTACCAGGGGGACTGCTGTAGTGAATCTACTCTCATAAAGAGAACGCGATTGGTTTTACTGTGTTCCCGTTTGTTTAATTGTACCGAAAACATACATCTTCCTTCCTTGACCTTGGGCTTGCTCACATACGCTTGCTAGTCTCACTTGTATATTTTGGTCCAATCTCGGTATTATTTCGATACCACGAGATCACCAAAGAATATATCTTAACTTCAATCGCAACTGGTCTTTTGATTTCTGCCTCTGACGGCATTCAGTGTGATTATCGGCATAATAAAGCTTCAATTCGCCATAACATCAACACCTCAAACTGCGTCGATATCAAATCAACATTTTTTCCCAACTCATGAATCTATCAAATAAACTGAGAGTGCTTTTTTCTCTAATCTGTCAGTCAGTCAGATGCAACGTAGAACTTCGTACGTAAGTACATCAGTTCATGTCGCCATACCACATCAGCACAGAGATATAATTGTCAATTCAAATCCAATAGTAGAAGAGGTAGTAAAGGTATTAGAAGTAATCGGAGAAGTTAGGATTAGAAGATATTATTCAAGAAGTATGATTCAGTGAGAAAAGTTTACAAAGTTGAAGAATCCAGAAGATTAAGATTTGAGAGAACACAAAGAATAAATGCACCGGCGCCACTGCAAACGATTTTGAGCCATGTCATTCAAGGTCTCTAACCATCGATTATTATCATCTCGCAGACCCCAACCAGATAGTCGACAACTACTGACATGACTCAGTCCACTTGTCAATGACTTCATGGATTTCTGCCATGTTTTGGTTTAGCCGCCCCTAGCTCTTTCTCTAATATTCACACTCCAACAATTTATCTTATCACTCCCAAATACCATGAACTTTAATACAAATACAAATACAAAAATACTACTAATAAAATCACAATTTATTCAATGACATCTATCATTAAAAAAAAAAGAATCAAAACAATTGTTTAAAATAAATGAATATTATTATACAATTATAAACATAGATTTGTTAGTATAGTATAACACATATGTCATTATTGGAAAATTGGATATTCCGTTAAAACAAAATATACATCAACACAGATGATCAATCAATCAATGAAATACACACACATTAAGTTGACTTTGAACAAAGGGGGGGAGGGGCAAAGCATCATGCTCATTCATATGATTACTATTTATCGATCATCACCTATTATGCATTATACAACACAATATTATTATTATTAATAATAATTTCATCGAAAATTGAACAATTGAACATAATCAGCTGATTTAAACAACAACAACAACAACAAAAAAGAGGGAAGGAAAATGCAAACGCAACAATTTCAAACATACAACAATGATTGGTGTTTTGTTTTTTCTCTTGATAGAGGAATAAAATCAAGTTAATAACAACAAGTAAGCAAAATTGAATTGAATTATTGAGTAAATATATATATATATATATTAATTCACTAGTGTAAAACAAGAAGTATACAATGTAGATAGATTCAAGCTTCAATCAACCCTAACCACAGAAAGAAAAAAATAAAAAGTAAGCTATTCACATGAATATTATTATTATTGATTTTTTTTCTCTATAGAATTACATAATAATTCTCGGTTAAAGTAAAAACTTATTCAATACGAATGAATGATTGAGCTGGGATATATGAATGAGTGAGTACAATTACATTTTGAAATCAATGGAAAAGCTACACGCGTGCACCTGCACACACACACACACAACATAGTCATGATTGGAAAAAAAATCAATAAATAAGAATATGAGCAGACATTGAAACAGATGAATATTTAATTCAAATCAAACAGTACACATCTTCAATGAAGGGTAAACTAACTCTACAAGTAAGAGTAGGCAGAAAGAAACATACATATAAAATGCAAGTGTGTGTGTGTGTTTTAAACCCTGAGTAATGTGTTTAATATAAATAATAATAATAATAATTTCCTATTGATAGTCTCACAAATAAACATGATGATGATAATGATGATTTGAAAATGCCACATTTTCGCGCGCGCGCGTGAACTAAGTAAGAGGTGGATTTAAACAAAACTCAACAGTTCAATCACAACAATCAGACAATAGACAAATAAATATAAGAAGAGAAGATGCATTAAAACCAAAAACTCTATCACACACTTGACATCATTGAAAATTCGTTCTTCTTCTACTACTACTACTACTACTAATACTACTAATAAATGCATGAGATAATAAATAAGTAGTATGACACGATCAGAGAGTTCTTTGTTGTGAAAAGAATCAAAATGGTAAAAATAAATTAATCAATACACATAGATAGATAAAGTTTTAATAAAAGAGAAAAAAAATAAAATAAAATACAGAATAAGAATAAGAATCTGATTACAGACAGGTAGATAAGTTTTAACAATCATAATCATAATAATCGGCATTATTTGGCACAACCAAAAACACGAGAAATTAAATTGTTCGTTTGTTTATGTTTCTTTAAATTCAATATTTCAATATTTTATTGAGTACTTTGACGTAATAGTTTATCTTTTAATAATAAACGTCCACTACAACATTTTGATACACCGGATGAAGAATGAGTAGTAGTAGTAGTAGTAGTACCATTCAGATTGGCAGATGTATTGATAGTGTCAAGTGATGCAGGTGTTGGTGTTGATGTCGAAGTTGATTCTGTTAATTGATGTAGACTATGATTTTGATAATTGTGATTAACAGTAGTATTAGTAGTAGTAGTAGGAGTAGTAATGTTAGAATTACCATTAATCATGTTAGTTGAATGAGCATGTTTATAATTTGTATCCGATGTAACAAAATAATCTTCAAAAAATTCAAATAAAAATGCAAATGTTGGACGTTTCTCTGGGCAACTATCCCATATTTGTAATAACATATCATAAATCGACTGTGGACAGTTGGCTGGACGTGGCATACGATAACCAGTACTAACTTGATGCAATGTCTCTGTATTATTCATTGATGGATAAGGAACTTGTCCCAGGGTGATCAATTCATAAATCACAATACCAAATGACCAAACATCCGACTTGATAGTGAAACGACCCATTAATGCAGCTTCTGGTGCTGTCCATTTAATAGGGAATTTAGTACTTTTTTGTGCCATATAAGTGGAATAATGATCTTCAACCATACGTGCTAAACCGAAATCAGCTATTTTAACACAATTATTTTCACCGACTAAAATATTACGTGCAGCTAAATCACGATGAATATAATGTTCTTTTTCTAAATAAGCCATTCCATTAGCAATCTAATAAAAATCAGAGAATTTTTTTTTAGAAAAAAATACAGTTTTAATAATTTAAAAAAGGTAAACCAATAAACTAATCTACTGTTACGCATACACGTAAACATGTCCCCTCTAGGCTGACTGCCGGTCCCTATCCCGGATAAAGGAGGAGGGTTGGGTGACCCCATCTCGTAGAAAACTAACTCGCTAAAAAAACGCTAACAAGAAAAGATGATTCAAACCATTTAAACTCTGCCCTGGGAGTTAGAAGTTCGTCATTCTGAAAAGTTATGACATCTCATGATGAAAGCCAAGTTTCTTCGGAAGTTACGAGGCCGATACCCCATCTAACAACCAGAGCCCTTGTACGGTATGGACAGCCGGGAAGTGACAAACGCCCTCATACCCGGTAAAAGCACATGAGACCAAATCGGTCAGAACCACATCCCTTCTATAACTCTTAATAACTCTATTTTGTTATGGTATAGTTGTACACTTACTTACTTAAGCAGTTTTGTTTTATTCAAATTCCGGATCTTTATTTCTCTTGTCAAGCAGATGTATTTTACTTAAACAATAAACTCATATCTGCATAAGATACACCGACTCTTAAGAATTGAATTGTGTTATTTGCAAGTGACTGGTGTAAGTATCTGGTTGATTGTATCTTTTTATCATGTTCATTTAACAAATCAATCGAAAAATGACTTGAATGAATTATCTTCTTAAAATATAGTTATATCTTTGAAGCATTGCTCGTATATCATGGTGGGACAACCGAGTAAGCAATGCTGCCATTAGGAATCGAGTGCTAGGTAAGGATGGCAGATCAATAGATGAAGTGGTGAAACTTCATTAGTTGAGGTGTGGTTGAGATATGCGTTACGTATGCCTCAACGAGCGATGTTTTGTGGTATAGGAGTAGGTTGGAAGAAAGCTAGGGGGGCGGTCGGACTAAAACATAGCACAAATCTATGAAGTCATTGACAAGTGGACTGAGCCATGTTGTTAAGTGTAGATTATCTGCTTGGAGTCCGCTAGTTGTCAGTAATGAATGGTTAGAGATCTTGAATGACATGGCTTAAAATCGCTTGCAATGGCACAGGTGTATCCACTCTTCGTGTTCTCTGAAATTCTAATCTTCTAAATCCGTCATCAGCTCAATCTTCATCTTTCTAAAGTTATTTCACTGAATTACTTTTCTTGAGTAATATCTTCGAACTCTTATCTTCTCTCCATTACCGCTAATTCTCCTACTATCTCTTCTACCACTATGGCACTTGAACTGACACAGTTGCGTCTCTGTGCTAATGCAGTAGTATGGCAACCTGAATTGATGTACGTACGTACGAAGTTCTACGTTGTAACTGACTGACTGACTGACTGACCATCTTAAGATGATATCTTTGCTAATAACTTCAATAGTATAATAATACAATAATATAATAAATTCGTGTACTGCTTACACTATGCAATTGGTTTATATCATAATGTGGTGCGAGCTACTTATAAGTAGTATATGACGCGAGTGTAAACGTAATGTCTGGGAACAGCAGAAGATGGAGGAAGATCAACAAGAAAGGAAGAGTGGGAACACAATGGAATTTGTATGAAACGCATCATGAATAGTGAAATGTCAGACAATGTGGATTGATGATGGATTGAAGATTTGCAAATTAACGGTTTACAATACATGGTTTTCCCATTTTACTGAGTAACTCTATAATTTTCGATAAATACAATTCGGTTGCCCTCACCTGTGTTCTCATTCACTACAATAATAGTGTAGACATAATGATTTTAAAGCATAGGACAATGTTACCACCACCACCACCACCACTTACCTGTGCCATCATATCGACCAATTGATTAATTTGTAAATTTTTCCCTGGTCCATCACGTAGATATTGTAGTAGACTACCATTACACATTAATTCAGTAACAATATAGATCGGGTCTTCTGTGCATACAGCATATAAACGAACTAATTTTGGATGTTGAGCTGCACGCATTATACGTGCTTCTTTTAAAAAATCTTCTTTACTCATTGTTCCATGTTTTAAAGTTTTTACAGCAACTTCTGTAGTACCATTCCAAGTACCTAATTTTTATTTTTTTTAAAAAAATATAAATATATATGTGTCAAATTAGAAATTTACAGACAGAATGAATAAATCATTATTGGTTACCGAAACTAAATAGTTGTAAGACGGATAGAGTGGCAATGTCTGTCTAAAATAACCTGGTACAGCTGAGTGTGAGGAGAGTATACTCTCTCTGTCTCTCTCTCTCTCTCAAAATGTCCTTATATGGTCACGCATATAAAGGCCAATACCAAAGAAATCTTACTCAATCTCTTCATGAATCTGGGGTGTTATTTACACAAATTGAGACGACGAAGAGCGAAAGTCCTAAGCTTCAATCGGGTTCTCAAATACAAAGGATCCACATAAGGGGGGTTGTGAAACATTGATTCCAAACCAATGGTAAACATGGGCTCCAGGATACTGACGGTGGCCAAACAAAAACATGGCAGAAATCCATGAAGTCATTGACAAGTGGACTCAGTCATGTTAGTAGGTGTCGACTACTTGGTTGGGGTCCGTGAGATGATTTTAATCGATGGTTAGAGACCCTGAACGATATGGCTCAAAACCATTTGTAATGGCATAAGTGCATTTACTATTTGTGTTCTATGAAATGCTAACCTTCTGAATTCCTCATAACCTTTACCTTTCTCTTTTTAGCTTTATCTCACTGAAGTATACTTCTCGAATCATATCTTCGAACCCTAATCTCTCCGGTTACTGTTAAGACTTCTACTACGTCTACTGCTATGGGATTTAAATTGACAATTGTTTCCCTGTGCAAATGTGGTATGGCAACTTGAACTGATGTACTTACGTACGAAGTTCTACGTTGCTGTTGATTAATTGACTGATCATGGGACTGCATCTTCTAACATAACTCTATTGCCCTGTAGATTATAAACCTCTCGGTCAAATGCCCAAGGAGTAGCCTCCCAAAAAAACACACCCGACCAATATTCTAGCCCATACAAAAATCCATTGATTGATGTGGCACATAAATATCTAGGTGCTCCTTTGTACCAACATAGTTATGTGTTTAAACATATAAATATCAAGATGTGGAGTCATTGTGTTAGGGTTACCAAAACGTACTGCGTACAACTTGGAATGATAACCTCTGAATTTAGAAAATTGTTAAAATTAAATCATTTTTTAACCAAAGATTATCGTTTTTCAAGTTCACAGTCTAACAAATTCAAACCAAAGTAAAAGTATGATACATATATAAATAACCTTGTAGAAATTCGGTTACTATCATTTGTTGTAACTCTTGCTTAGATAATTCTCAGCTAAATCCTATTGCTTAGTATTCTCTGACCACACACAATACACTGGACAAGTTCCAAAGAATCAAAAACACGGTGGAACAGGAAAAGAGATTATATTCCAAATAGCAAGGTTAAATGGAAATAAGAAGCCGAAGACGAAGGCCAAATAGATACAACGTTAGTTTCTTTATAGTATTTGCATGAGAAGCTTCTGGATAGTAATTCACGTGATCGTGCAGCTAAAAACACGAGAGTTATGGAGATTAGTGTTTTTACACATTTGAAATCATCAATCAGTCATGTGCACTGCTGATGAGTAGTCTCATAACAGGACGAAACGGCCGTCTTTCAGTGCTTCCGGGTTCCCCTAATGGTGGTCCAACAATGACTGGAATGGATAGAAATTCAGTTATGGATGACTTCGAAGAGATATGAGATAGAGTAGTAATACTTCATAACAGTGTTTGTTTAGAGTTAGGATTGAACATTGGAATCAGTTGGGTTAGGAGTTATTATTAGTATGAACAAACCTTAAACTATGATACACTTTAATTTAAACAATAACGGTTAAAAACAAACAGTGAACTTATAAAATTTTGTTATCCATGTAAAATCTACACATTCTTAATAAATCTCTTCATTTACTATCGTAAATTAGTAAATCATATTCACTTTTCTCCGACCGATTAGAATATTTTAGTATCTTGAAGTCTGTTAGCGGGACATAGATTGGATTAAAGCATGATTGCGTTGCTGCACGCTGATTGGCTCTTTCGTATCCACCAATCAGCGCTAGCCGATACTGAGGGAACATTGTAGAATCGTCTCATGTAAGAAAACTATAAACATACTAACGTCTTTTACCTTGTTATTGGAATATAATCTACTTTTTTTCCTGTTCAACCGTGTGTTCTGATTTGGGAGAACGTTTCAAGTGAATTGGTGTCCGAGAATACTAAGCATTAGTAGGAGGAATAGCTGGGTTGTAATATAAAGAGAGAATTATAACAAAGTCATTCAGTAGCATACTTAGTGTTTTGCAAGTAACCTAATTAAGAAACATCTACTTGGTCAGTTAGTCAGTCAGTTACGACATAGAATTCGGTACGTACATACATCAATTCAAGTTGCCATACCACATAAGCACAGACAGATGGAATTATCAGGACAAATCCCATAGTAGTAGAGATAGTAGAAGTATTAGAGGTAATGAAGAACATTCGAGTTCGAAGATATAAATCGAAAAGTATAATTCAGTGAAAGATAAAGGTGATGAGGAAATTCACATAGATTAGAATTTGAGAGAATGTAGGAGGAACTTTGAATACAAAGTTAGTGTGGGTGAGTGACATTGTGAAACCAAGTACATAGTAAATACTCAAAAAAAAATCAGTTAGCAGTACATTATCGACTGGTTATGTTATCAATCTCTCTTTTTTGATTACAACCCAGCTATTCCTCCTACTAATGCCTAGTATTCTCGGACACCAAATTCACTCGAAACGTTCTCCCACAGTTAGATCACACGATTGAACAGGAAAAAAATAGATTATATTCCAATAACAAGGTTAGATGGAAGTCAGAGAAGGTCCAAAGGAAAAAACACGTTAATATATTCATAGTTTTCTTAACATGAGAAAGTTTTAGAATGTTGCCTCAGTTTAACGGCTAGCGCTGATTGGTGGATACGAAAGAGCCAATCAGCGTGCAGCAACACAATCATGCTTTAATCCAATCTATGTCACGCTAACAGGTTAGTAAATAATTTGCAATTTTAGATACATTGTCATATCATATTTTGTAATAATGACTAATACACTGATATTTTTTTTACGAAAGTAGTAAACAAATGGACAGAAGTTAAGCACAACTTGAAGTGGTACAAAACATGTGTTCTGTTGATTCGGATTGCATTTGAATAGGAAATCAAAATATATAGAGATAGATAGTCATAGTACAACATAGTAGGTGGAGTTCCCAATGAAACAACTAAGCAAGTTAAAAATGAGATGTTTATTTGTCAATCGTATCTAGTTAGAATGTGTGAGTATATTACATTTGCAAATCTCCGTCACTTATGGCGTAGGCGAGATATCTGTTTGTTGACTAAAGGACAAAAGTACTGCGCAGTAGTTCGCTCCGTCTTACTATATGGCTGTAAAACATGACCAGTGAGAGTAGAAGATATTTTTAGGTCACTGGTTTTCGATCATAGGTGTCTTCGAAGCATTGCTCGTATATCGTGGGACACCCGAGTGAGCAACGCTGTTATTAGGAATCGCGTGCTAGGTAAGAATGGCAGATCAATAGATGAAGTAATGAAACTTCATCAGTTGAGGTGGTTGGGACATGTGTTGCGTATGCCTAACCACCGACTGTCTCGACAAGTTTTGGTGTAGGAATAGGCTGGAAGAAAGTTAGGGGCGGCCAAACCAAAACATGGCACAAATCCATGAGGTCATTGACAAGTGGACTGAGTCATGTCGGTAGTTGTCGACTACCTGGTTGGGGTCTGCGCGAGATGATAATAATCGATGGTTAGATACCCTGAATGACATGGCTCGAAATCGTTCGCAATGGCGCATGTGCATTTGTTCTCTATGTTCTCTCAAATCCTAATCTTCTGGATTCTTCAACACCTCTAGTTTTGACTTTCTAAACTTTTCTCACTGAATCATACTTCTTGAATAATATCTTCTAATCCTAACCTCTCCGATTAGTTCTAATACCTTTACGTACCTCTACTACTCTTGGATTTGAATTGACAACTGTATCTCTGTGCTGATGTGGTATGGCGACATGAACTGATGTACTTACCATCTGACTGACTGAGTATATTACATAAGTAAATAGTATTCAAAAGCAACGTCTAAACAGATCCATCAGTTTCTACACATTGAAACCATGAATCGATCAATGTTAGACCACCATTAGAAACCTGGAAGCACTGGACGGCCGTTTCGTCCTGGTATGAGACTCATAGGTGAGGTCGCGCAAAATCCCTAGATTGATCAGAGTTACACATTAACACCGTTGGATACCGGTTCATTGGTCCAGATGTTAGGCGTTAGCACCCAAGAATGAAGGTCCTAGGTTCGAATCCCGCAATTAGCAGGAGTCGTGGATGCGCACTGCTGATGAGTAGTCCCATACCAGGACAAAAACGGCCGTCTTTCAGTGGCTTCCAGGTTCCTAATGGTGGTGGTCTATCATTGGTCGCCTCATGATTTCTGTGTGTAAAAACGCTAATCTCCATAACTTTAATTGCATGAAAAACATCCATTAGTGTCAGTGAGGTTAATCAATTAGAAGAAACAAAAGTAGATGGTTAAGCAGGTGTGTTAACACAAACAAGCCTGACAAAGAAAGTATTTAAACTATTATTGAAAAAAAAGTTATACCTTTCCAAACTTCACCAAATTGTCCAGCGCCTAGTTTTTCAATTAATACAATGGATGATTTGGATATTTCCCAATGATCTTTTGTTTTAACTGATAAATCTGAAGTGATTGGTGGTGGACGTAAACATGCTCTTGTTAATTTACAACATAAACCATGTGAATCAATGGAATAAAATTGTATCAGTTCTTGTAAACTAGAAAAACTACATTTTGTTGTAATATAATAATAACGATAATCTGGATGTTTTATACGATAATGTTTCACTGTATTCATTATACCCGATAAACCATGTTCTTCATCACGTACAGATAATGTTAGAGAACCTGAGTAGAAGAATAATATCATTAAAAGTTACATGTGATTAATGAAAACACACAGGAGATATGAATGTCCACAAATATTTGAAATGAATTTTGCCCAATGATAAAAAATATGTCACTTTTGCACATTACTAATATGATAAGCTTTTGAAAAAAGAGACAGCCTCTGACGTTATAGTGATAGATAGTCGAAATTACGAACTGATCTTAAATAGACCATTATCAGAAGCATGGAAGCATTGGCAGGTGGTTTTGTCTGAATGTGGGACTCTTCATTAGTATCGTTCCACGAACACCACACACGGGAATCGAATCCAGGACCCTTGTTCTTGAGTGAGGACGTTTAACCTTCAGACCACTGAGTCAGAATCCAATAGTGTTAATGTCCAACTTCAATCGATCCATGATCTTGCGAGATCTTTATTTATTGCCTGAGGTAGATAACTGTCTCATAAGCGATACGGATTGAACTCGATTGGTCAAGGTTTCTCGTTAGAACTCGATGAATTCATGTTTAAGCTGGTCACTTGAGAGCACATGATTGTTATTAATGGAAAAGGCCTTGTAGTGTATGATTTTAAGTTAGTAATTTTAACTATGAGAACAATACTATCTCCACAAATCCCCTCTATCAATAACATAGGGATTGTTTAGATGAATATACTTGATATTGACAAAACATACAATATGGAAAACGTCCGGGCAAAAGCTAAAAATAACTAGTAAGTGTCTGTAGTGTCAAGTTATCTCACTCGCTGTACACTAATAGAATTTCTCCCTCCTGAAATGCAAAATGTTGCTACAGGATTGGCTTAAATCAGCACCTAAACTAGTGATAGGGATTGAATTAGTTGAGCGTGTTGACTGCTTCACTTATCTTGAGAGTCACATCAGTGCTGATGGCGTGGTGTCTGACGAAATCTCAGCACCGATGCAGAGAGCTTAGCTAGCTTTTGCCAACTTGAGTCACTTATGATGTAGGTGAGATATCCGTCTGCTAACCAAATGATGAGTTTACTGTGCAACAGTTCGCTCCGTCCTATTATACGTGTGTGAAACATGGTCACTAAGTTTAGAGGGTATTCTTAGCCTACTAATATTGGATTATAGGTGTCTTCGAAGCATTGCACGTGTATCCTGGGATCACCGAGTAAGTAATGCTGTGGTTAAGAGACGAGCACTAGGTAAGGATGGAAGATCAATAGATGAAATACTGAAACTTTACCAGTTGAGGTGGTTTGGACATGTGTTACGAATGCCCGATCACCGGCCGCTTCGTCGAGTTACGTTTTGTGGTGTAGAAGAAGTCTGGAAGAAAGTTAGGGGAGGCCAAACCAAAACATGTCACAAATCCATGAAGTCACTGACTAGTGGACTGAGTTATGTTGGTGAATGTAGACTACCTGGTTGGGGTCTGCGAGATGATAGTAACAGATGGCTGGAGACTTTGAACGACATGGCTAAAAATCGCTTGCAATGGCGCCGGTGCATCCATTTTTTGAATCCTCTCAGATTTTAGTGCGCTGAATTCCTCATCACCTCTATCTTCCTCCTTTTAAGTTTATTTCACTAGATTATACTTCTTGAATAATATCTTTGAACCCTAATCTCTCCAGTTACTACTAATACTTCTGCTACCTCTACTACCGTGGGATTTGAATTAACAATTACATCCGTGTTTACTAATGTGGTATGGCAACTTGAACTGATGTACTTACGTACGAAGTTCTACGTTGTAACTGACTAACTAAATGATAGGACAATGACTAAGTAGTGAAATAATTCATATTCAACGGAGAGATGGAGATGTCCACTTAACTCTGGTTGTTGCCCCAGAAATTCAACTAAATGCTTTCCTCTTAAAAATAAACAAGAGAAACTTAAAAATAACTATGATTAATAACAATCTTATCAATGACCAAAAAGCATAATTTGAATATTGAACCAGCTCACGATTACTGCAGGCACCTGCAGTAATTATTATTATTATTATACTTTATGATTAAAAAGTTTTAAAATTCTTAAAGGATAATAATCATGCTGAACAGCAAACTCATGGAAGATGACTAGTCAAAATCATGATTTAAATTTTTTTTCTAAAAATTGTTTGTTTAACGTAATTACTCTTTTAATGATTAAAACTTACCTTGGCTGGTTTCACTTTCACGTACTAAAAATACACCTTGTGCATTGCCTTCCAATAGTAGTAATCTTTCAGAGTCCTTACGCGACAACTTAGGCATAAACCATCTATGTGTAAAAAATATAAATTGTTGTATATTTTTTAAAATTTTGTTTCAATTTACAAAAAGACAGGTATTTACTGATTGATAAGTGTCAACTATTATTTTTCATATTGCGAGCCATTATCAAGATAAATAACTTACAACAAACTGATTACTTAAATATACACGAAGAATTAAGTATCATTTTGCATTTGTGAGGCCATGGTAGCATCAGGAATAAAAAGGTACAAACATTACTGGCAGAGTGGGTTATGACTAGGAGAGGAATTCAAGACGCATGTTTTTTCTTGCTCTGGGACTCGTCAGTTGGATTTACCTGCACCTTAAAGTTGATGTTCACTCTGGGAACTTGAAGCCAGTACTGTTCGCTTTAAACACCATCGCATTATTCATTTAGCTACTGAGTTCAGAGATTGAAATGAGGTGGAAACTAATTCATTCCTATTGGTCGTTTGTTGGGGATGCTAGATCTCTATAAATCACTTGGCAATTCTATTAATTTTGTAATTTTGAAATTCCAACAGTGCCCCTTAATACCTCCAGTCTTTTTTCCCCATTCGGAAGAGCCTTAGACCTAATTGGTTAGTTTTCTCTCCAAAGACGCTTTTCGTACTGCATAAATTACACTCTAATTAAATGCTTGTTAATAGATTCTCATAGGGCTGCTTGTGGATGATATAATCTTCCTGCGGATTTCAGACTTTTTGTTCTAAGTTAGGTGAGCTGGGTCGCACAGAATAGATTAACTGCCCTGTTATTGTGTCACTGATTTCAGTCAGTTACAACGTAGAACTTCGTACATGAGTACATAAGTCTAGATTGCCATACCACATCAGCATAGAGACGCAACTGTCAGTTCAAATCCCCTAGTGGTTGAGATAGTAGAAGTATTAGCAGTGTCACTGATTTTTACGTTCTGTTCGCCAATAACAAAATGTATCTTAATCAGCACAAGCATAAGATTGTTTGAAACTTCCCATTGATGTTTAGGACTTCAATTGATCAGTCTCTTTAGGATATGTTTATCCTGTGCTGATTGCCCCGATATCGTCTTTAGGTTACAAAGCATTATTACCACAGGTTGATAACGGCTAGCAGTGGAATAATAAATATTAATGCGAAGATTCAACACAACTAATACAAATGAATTAAACATACAAGCTTTAAGCATAGAAAGTTTTAAAAGTATTATACTTTACTTAACCAGTACTTTTTAAAATACTTTTTGGCTTGATGATTCAAACACAAAACAAATCCTATCATTGCTTCGTAGCCTTGAAGATTAGAATTACAGACTTGTATCTGTGCCGAAATTTTCGGTTCTGATCTATGATCATTCTAAACCAAAATATTGAGTTTTTGATATCTGAATGTCAGTCAATACCTTCAGATCATTGATCACTCTCTAGTAAAATTATTGAGTCTAGAATATCCAAAGGACTTGTACTGTTCTCTAGATGAAAGGTAAATCAGCTAATTAGTTTAACCAACTGAAATGGTAACATTATATGCACCTGGTTGGAAAATATTGGTTTGAAATTATTAGTTACAGTGATCGAGTGAAATCTAAGTAACTTAGAAAATATTATGATTCCTAGTCAGCTAGTAAAAATAGGTTCAGGAATGAGTTGTACAACGTTATGAAATTAATCAATGCCATTAATTCTAAACCACGTAAGCATTTTAGAGCCTGATGCTTACAAATGCTAGTTGACAGATACTGTCCAAAATCGATTACAATAGCAAAGGTGTATTCACGCTTCATTTTTCTTTAAATTTGGCATCTATTGACTTTTGTTGTTAAAAAAACAAGACAACTAATACTATTGAGCCTCTATAAAGAAGAATGTTTTCTTGTTTACATATTTATGAACTACGTTTAGTATTGTTTTAGCAATAAAACCCACTACTAGAGCTTTTTTCAAGACATTGACACTCATGTTTTGTGGGGAGATAAGGAAGAATTCTGGATAATATTTCACACATTTAGAAAATAAACGCTGGCTAAATTGAATATGATCGGATTAAGTGGAATTTTTTTTAAAAAAAACAGACATCAACTGAAGACATACTCTTCAGCTTCGACTGATCCTTTCTTTGCAACAAATGAACTTGGAACATATCCTTTCCTACCGGAACTCAAGTTCTGTACGAGCCACCAATCTGAATCTCTGAATAAAATTAAAAAAATAAGATTATTAGAAAGAATTTATGATGAACACATACAGTTTAACACCATTACTTCTGATAATAACTCCTAAGAAATACATTACAGAAACCACAAGTTCACAAAGTTTGTTGATAATTTTTAGATTGCGAAGCGGAGACTTAGAATTATAATAAAATTAGAAAACTCTAGGAGTCAGAAGGGTTTTTCGATATCGATTCTGCATAGTTTTTTTTTATCTAATTTTGGTACAATTAAACACTAAGAAAGCAGGCCAAGCAAACAAATCGACACTATTGTGAGGTAAAGGGTAAGGCAGTATAATTAAAAATAAAATAAACTAGTAAACAGGAAGAGTACATAACAGAAGTTGCAAGTATTTTGCACAATTAATTCAAGTTCTAAATACCACGACTGATAGTAAACATGAAAAAATATTTTTAGATTTTGGGGTTACAGTGTAGAAAATGGTTTAGTAATTTTTTTTCAGTAACAAGTGAGGTCACGACACAAATTAATGTTTACAAAAATGAGGACGATAAAAGTACTGCATGATTATCTGGTTTGATTACGTTGTTATTGTAGAGTTTTATTACTTTTGTATAGATGTTAACCATGACAACATAGATAAGTGATCAAGGAACATTCCTAGCCATAAATCATCATCACGTCCTATAGTCAAGTCCACGTTAATAGTCAACAGAATAGTCGAGCTAAACTGCTACTTCTCAAACTGTTTTGATTATATTCACTTCATATATTATTCTCAACAACTTGTACCAAATTATCACTACATAGAAGATATTTCGATGCTTAGTGTGGCGATGTCTCGGTATAAACCAGAGACTTGTTGGAAGCAGTGCACATATCACCGATAAGGTCCATGAAACTATACCCAAAAAATTATAGGGAAACTAATAGTTGTTATTGTTGATCTACGAACTTAATCACTAAAACAGAAAGTTAGTAAATATTGCTTGGAAGATACATTTACGTTCGTCAAAAGAATTAAAGACAAAGACACTAGCAACCAAACAATCGACTGAATGGACAGCAGATCAGTTTTTACTATGTTTCGTTAACAGATAATAACGATTAAAATTATCAAAACCTCCTAAAGTTCAAAATCACTAAAGGAATAGGCCGTAATATCAAGCATATAGTTTGTTTTTACAACCACTAACTGACTGACACTATTTTACACTCTTTTATTGTCTTTTGGTACAAAATAAATTTCATACCAATATTTCTAGCCAAAAATAACTTCCGCACGATTCTCATGAAGAGGCCATAGCAGAAACGAACGAGAATTCGTCAGCATTTACTATCATAAACAAAGCAGAGATAAATTAGTCAACGTCTGCATATGTCCAGTAGCTAAAAGTCGTCAATGCAATAGGTACCGGTCTGTTGAACAGTTATATTTGGGCCGACAAAATTTAATAATAATGACGTTCTGGGTTGAATCATAGCGATTCGCAGAAAAACAACATTTTTGCACCCTACTTTAAAACCTAGTGCTCGCTGAAGGCCTGAATCTACGAAATATACAAAATTCTGGTGGGTACAAAATAAATAATTATAAATCAACGAGGTAAGGACACTTACTTGTCTGCTAGCACCAATACTTCATCTCTTCTGGAAAGAAACGTCTCCTCATCTGTACGTGCATTATAATCAAATAAAGCGACAAAGAGTTTTGGCTTAAATTGCTTAACGCTTCTGTCACTGATTTGGCCGGCGGTCAAAGCCTGTGATTCAGTAGGATGAAAAAGACTAATCCCTACGTTTGAAGGGAGACCTGCAGGTTGACGTGACTGCGGCTTGGATGTCATACGGTTAACTAAGGGGGAACCATTTTGAATAGTTTCAGAAACTCTAGTTTTATTGGACCGGGAAGAAAGGAAAGGACTGGTGTTATCCATTGACTGGGAGGCTCTAACACCAATGCTACTTATGTCACCGTGTTTTGAAGAAAAAGCTCTATCCTTTGCATGCATTGACATAACCATTCCTTTGAAACAATTCCCCATAAGTTCCCGCATACAGATGCATCTCAGAGGCTTGACTATTTTGTGGACAAATGTTAGGGCCTGGTTCGAAATCAGCGCAGCAGCGTCCAGTGTCCAATATATTTTTTACGAGCTAGCACAAACAAATTAATTTATTTGCAGTCAATTCTTGTCCTTTCAATACGATTCCAGGTGTTCTTTAGTGCACGAAGAATGGGGTTCTAGACACTAGACTGTCTGGTTCTAGACAGTTGGCAGTTGTTTGTGAGTTTGTATGTCCGGTGAATTGAGTAGTAGGGTTTCTGGATACCACTAGCTATCATATTACTAGACCGGAGATCAGTTAATTGCATTGTTGTAGTGAAGACTGTGCGAGAGGACCGAAGTGTAAGCGTGGGAGAAGAAACAGAGAAAATCGGCGAGATAGATTAAGTTAGTGATCTGAAGAGGTGGCAATAATAACGAATAGCAAGTCTCGAGACATGCATAAAGCACAGCAGGTCCGCGAGGGAGATTATAATCCGTATGTGAGTACGTGATTATCAAGTCTCTTCTCAAGGCTGTCGACTGAGGGGTCTGTGGTCACCTCGTCTGGGTGAGCATTCTAAGTTGTAACGACTCTTAATGGAAAAACGTGTGCAGGAACCTGAGTATTCGCTCTCTGATGCTCAATTTTCCCGACTATTGCCTCGAGGGAAGTGGTGGTAATGCATCGGTAAGGTGCTCCGCTGGGATGGTTTGGTGTGCCTAATATGTGGTACGCCACAATCAGGTCAACTCAAATTCTCCTGTAACTCAAGGAGAATAACTCCACGTGCTGGAGTTGACGTTCGTAAGTTTTATTTTTAAAACACATCACCCATTTTGTTGCTCGTCTCTGAACTCGATCCAAGAGATTTTTCTCTGTTAAGGAGAGGGTGTGCGACGACGTTATAAACTCAAGTTGTGGGCGTGCATATGTTCTAAACAACGTTAATAATAATTCTGGGTGATTGAACAAGGTTTTCTTTGCATAAAGTGAAAAGTAGCATCGGTCTTGGCTGCGTCTCTCATATTGTTCGGGCTTGTGTGGAGGCTTTAAGTGGGTAATAAACCGATATCGTGCTTTGAGGAGACATCAGGGAGCAGACTTCCATTGAGGGTCTAAATCGTTTGCGGAATGTGGGGTGGAATGTACATGACACGACTCTTCAGCTGGGCTAGTTTTCAAACGTTTCTCACTGACGATTATTTACTGCACGTGAAGTCCTTTTTGGGCTCAGTCGAATCCTCTTCACTTTTAATGGACCTTCAGATCTTCTCATCGTCTGCGTAGATCAATGCCGGTTAGCAAACTGTGTATAACAGGTCGTAAATGAATATCAGAAGTAGATGTGGGCATAAGGTGGTCCCCGGTGAAACTCCCGATGCTGGGACTCGCCAATTCGCGTGCACTCTATTTACCTTGGTAAGAAACTTTCTAGTTTTAACTCCTCACACCACACCCACGTAGTTCATAGTAACTTATTTACTCAAGATACTCCAAACTATTTTAGCTCAACGGGACATTTGTCTAATATGTGTCTTATTAATGCTCGTTCGACCTGTAATCCAAAGACAGATTTAGCCATACTTGCGACTATTTGCAAACCATCACTTATAATGATAACTTAGGCATGGACCTCCAGTAATATCTCTGATCTAACTATATCTCTTGAAAACTATGATCTATTTCGAAGTGATAGGTTACAAGGACGATGTGGAGGATGCCTCATTTATGTCCACCCTAGCCCAAAATCGCTCTTATGTGATATGTTGGAACTCAACAGATCGCCAGATTCTGTGTGGGTCGTTCTGAAACCCTCAAATGCAGTTTCCTCACTGTTTGGCTATGTCTACCGTCAGCCTAACGCACCAACAGGAGATCTAGCTTTATTTTCAGAAATATTCACGTTTGCTTCATCCCTACCATTTACAAGCACAGCTGTTTGTGGAGACTTCAACATGCCTGAAATCTCTTGGTTCCCAGTCAAAGCACCTAAACGATTTGAGTAATTTATTGAATGCTAAGAGCTTGGGGAGTGGACTCAACATGTTGTCGGCACAAGAAAAGCGTGCTATTCACCTGAATAATGAATCTTCTACACTTATTAAACTCCTTCGAAATAAACGTAAATGCTATAAAGTTAAAGGAGGTAGCATGTTTATTGAGGAGAACCAAGTGTATGAAGTATCGCAGATGTGTTCAGCATACATTTTTGTGCTACATAGACAAACGGAAACCCAAAAACTGAATCACACCTGACCCACGTTCCTTCCTTTGGAATAGCTGGTGTTGACTTCAGTGTGCAGAACATTTCCAGGAAGCACCATTACATTTAAGGACCAGATGGTTTTCCAGTCAACATGTTGAAAAATAGGAGCAATGATTTGTGTGCTATTCTTCTTTAATTATTTACTATTTGTAACTCGTCTCAAGGTAGTTTCTGAGCCAAGATAGGAGTGGGTGAATGAAGACCATTTCTGCAACTTTCGCGGTTTGGCGTGCGTAGGGTACTGTGTCTAAGGCCTTCGCAAAGTCAAGAAATATTATTTGCACCAGTATTTATAGGTCCAGTCAGGATTTCCAACTGTCCCATGCTTTGAGAAGATTAGTTGCGAATGGCTTGCCTTTCCGAAACCCTTGTGAAGCTTCATGGAGTACATTTTTATTATCCATGTACTCCCCCATCTATACGTTCACCAGCCCTTCCATTACGATCGGCATTATTTGTAGTAATGCTACTGGCCTGTAACACGCTGGGTCCTTCCTATCTCCTCATCTGAAGATTAACGAGAGAGAGAAGGTTCTTTCCATTAAACTTGGAGTTGGTGTGACTGCAGTGAATGCCTGTACAGAGGGCTTCTATACATTGTTTTATGACAATGGGCGAAAATTGTTACAACATGATGAATTTTTTGGGCGTAACGACTGTAGCTGAATTTTCTACCGTAGCAGTTCAATTTGTTTCCAGTAGGTGTAAGTCGAACGCACCTCTCTCCTAGTCCAATATCAGAACACAATAATTCTAGGAGTAAATGGTCTATTTATATAAAAAATGGTAATACAAACAAGTACCTGACTTTTGATACCTGACTTTTGTCCCAAAGACTCTGATGAGTATCCGAGTTCAAAAAGAATAAGTAATGCTAGATCCAACCACAACAGTATCAAATCCAAATATGGCTGTAGCCATAATAAATATCACATTTAAACAACATGTGTACAGTTCAGAAGGAAACATAAAAACTTCAATATAAGTACAAGATATAGAAATAATAACAACATACAATGATAAAATCTCAAAATGGAATCAAATAAAGTACCAAAATGTCAACAGAAAGAGTAAGTCATATCATAACACAAATAAATAAACATGGAGGGATTTTCCAAAAAACAAAACATTCAAAATAGATTTTACACCGGCCCGCAAAGTTCATCCATGCAAAAGAGGCAGCGCTCACTGACACTTCAAGTTAGGCTTCACTCTCATCCCCTAATCCACACCGGAAGAACGAGTAGGACTTACAGCAGTACGCCTACCCGCCATCCAACATGGATATGACCTATCAAGCTAACTAGGTACCTGTACCTTCCCATCAGGTCCTTGATTCCCCTATCTATCGTAGCATGACCTAACGGTAGTATAACCCAAATCCAATTAACCCACATAAACATGTACAACACGTCGTAAAGCTGGTCATATCCTATCCGGGAATTACATTCCATATCATGGGGATGAGTCGTCAATCCACCACCACTTGCTCCGAACGGCAGATACGATGAAGTCCGTGATGCTGAATTATCAACAGAAGTTCTTGACCCATAGATAATATGCAAGGGTGGGATCTCCAATTTTGATATTTCCTCGTCTCGCGAAGACCTTAAGTAGCATAACATGGGACCAATATTTATCTCTCCATCTCCTGATACAGAGGAGGTTTGATCAGCATTGGTCATCGTCGGCAACTTATTTGTCACATCAGTGACATCCAGATTATTATCATCGTCATCAGGATTCCGTTGTGTCAGACAGGTTGCGTCGTTTCGGTCTGCACTAGCATCCGTATAGTGAAACTCCTCGATTGTTGTATAACTCATTGTTGTATAACTCATCTCTACATGAAAGAACAGCATTAGTGTCACAATCCAAAACCGATAAACTCACTTGTTGTTCTTCATGTTCCGTTTCAGAGACACAAGACATATGCACATCAATAGCATCGTTATCATGCAACACTGTAGACTGGCTGTTACCATCAGACGCTTCCTTCTCATCATCACTTGACCGACAGTCAACCGAAGTAGGAACACTTACAGTTACACAACCCTGTGTATCCTCAATCAACTTAACATTCGCGGCAGGGTCCGATGACGTCAAAACACTAGAAGGCTCGTTCGATGAAGTTGATCGACTAGTCACTATAGGTGGACTGCTCACACTTTCTGTCTCTTTACTATCGCTGTCACTACTAAGATTCTGATGACTACTATTTCCATTGCTAGTCATAGCATCCGAAAGAGAACGAAGTTTAGGCTTCTTAATAATAGTAGCATCAGGTTGTTTCTTATGCTTCTTAGCTTCGGTAGCAGTATGTGAGCGTAACGTACGATCATTTCGACGACGATGAGTGTCTTTCAACTTCCATCGATCACTATTACTCGCAGGAGTATCATCAATGCTATTATCATTAGTAGCCGCAGCTGTACAAGCAGCAGTACACTTCTCATGACATCCAGTCGACTCATGCACAGTGGCTAACTCTACTCGATCAACATTGCTTTCCTTACTAGGAATGCTCTTAGCCTCTTCTATCTTATCACTGTTGGTAGTGCTCATCCCGAAGCTTGTAGTACAAGTCAATGATGGTGGAGTGCGACAGGTGGACAATTCCGTGCTCGATTCCTCATGCTGCATATTCAACACAACAGCATGTCCATGAAACCTAGATGACTCCTCATTGCACCTAGGATACCCAATGTTAGCCTTCTCAGTACTGCCATCACTGTGGCTAAAGCTATTGCCACCGACGCCTACATTCTCCACGCTCAAACATCCAATTTCGTCTTGATCCGAAGTACACAAGGAAGC